AGAAAGTTCTTCAGCCACCAAACTGAAATGATTTACGCACATCTCTCCCTAGCCTAAGTGAGATCGGTGAGACACATGACTGTTGATAGCATAGCATGCATAATGAACTCATTCTTACTTCAATAAAGGTGCCTTTTACAGAATTGGCCATGAAAATAAAAGAGGCGGAATAATCCCAGTGTAAACATCCTCTCTTTATCCAGGATACTCTTTCTTTACTGCTTTGAATACTAAGAAATTAAAGGCCCAGGATGTTTTATTAGAACACAGGATTCTACCTCTGACATTACATGAGCTCTAGTAGCCAGGACTTATTATTAACAAAAATAGTAATACATGGGGAGAATATAATTTCATTGTCCTCCTCCCTAGAGAAACAACTGAGCAGACTAGCTGAATAGAAATGGGCAACCCTTGCATGCCATTTCCTACCACATTCAACCATGATGACTCAGTTTCCACTCACTTTACCACTACTGACCTCCCCTCCCCCGACTTTGCCAGGCAATATAAACAAATTAACTGGGGTGGAAATATAATGAGTAGAACAAAACTCCAAGCTCTAACCAAATAAACAAAAGATAGTGTTTATAAACTAGTGACAAAACTATTGTTTTAGGGGGAAAAATCCTAAAACAGAATTATTTTAGTGAAAAATAATAGTTATCAATGTTATAGGCTATAGGATTATTTTTGTATTTTTATAATTGAGAATGGGCATCTCTACTATCCTGGAATTAATTCTACCTCATGTGGAATTTTTAATCACCTTATAAATATTTTATTAAAATTTCTCATTAGTGTCAGGGAATATATAAATAATCTATATCTATCTATCTATCTATCTATCTATCTATCTATCTATCTATCTATCTATCTATCTATCTATCTATATTGTGCTTCAGATCTATATAAAGAAAACAGCTTAAAGCTGAAGATTCTGTGATGCTGGTAATTCATACCACTTCGGAGGAACAGGTAAATGCATTTTCCTTAACAGAAAACCCTCTTTTCTTTACACTTCAGTTAATCTATTGTAAATAATGACCCTGAGTGTGACAAATAGAAAAATAAGATCATTGGGATGAGTTTATTGCAATAAATAAGACCTGCAGAATATTAAGCCCTCCAGATAATTCTATATGTCAATATCTCTACTAATTTGGTCTTTCCACATAATTAACTCTATGAAATTATTATTCTGCTGAACTCCAGTAATAACAAAGAGTATACACAACCAAAAATTAGCACAGAGGCAGTTGCTCATTAGACAAGAAGACAGTGAGAAAAATCATCTGGAAAAAAACTTCCTAAATCTCTCCAGATCTTGACTCCATGTTGTATTTACTGAACTTGTTATTGTAAAATAGTTTTTATTTACAGAGAAATTGCAAATAAAAATGGCAAAATTGCAAAAAAATACTACACAGTTCTTGTGTACCCTAGATTTAGTTTCTCTGTTGTTAATATCTGGCATTACTATGGTATCCCTGTGATAACTGAAATGGATGGAAAATCAGAATATACACCAGGGCTTCACTTCCTTTGAGTTAACTTGTTTTCATGACTGTTTTTAGAATCCAGTAGCTAGGCAATGGATTCCCACTAATTTTATTGTAGTCAACACCTCTGAAGTAAGTATGGTCACTTGTTATTTTTTAGGAACTTGGAGGCCACACTTATCTGTCTGAAACCAGCTGAAGCTGTTGACCTTGAAGTCACTTGGACCTGCACAGGTGTCAGATGTGTGGTGTTTGATGTTTCTAAGGGTCTAAAACTCTTCCCTCAGATTGCTAGTAGGGCCATGCTCTGAACACATGTCCTGTGAATGGCCATGAAGTTTGACTACACCTGTGCAGACTCTCAAGTACTTTACTTTGGCCTACCTTTAGTCACCTTTCCCCACATCTAAAACCACCCAGTTTCTTTATTCCGCAAACATCTCTAAATCCACTCCTTGAGGAACTAGACTTGAGACATGGAGCTGTTGTACTCATTAAGTTGAGCTTCCTTGTGAGTAAAAACTCTTTTGCACAACTTGTTGGTTTTGAGATTGGCATATTACATGGGAGGGGGGTAAAACCAATAACATGAATGAGCCAATTTTGACATAGTATTACCTAAAAACATACTTTATACCGTTTTCTCTTTTCTGTTCCATCCAGGAATGTCAGTACACTTAATTATCATGTCTCCTCTTGATTATTAATAATTCCTCAGACTCTCCTGGTTTGGGATGACCATGACAATTTTAAAGAGCACTAATAAGATATCCTCTACAATGGCCCTCAGTGAAGATTTATCAGATGCTTTTCTTGTGGTGGGAATGAGATTTTGGGCTTTGAGAAAGAAGACCAGAGAAATAAGTGCCATTCTTATCATAAGAAAGATGTAAACTATCAATGTGGCTTATGACTGAGATGGTGTTTGTCAGATTTCCTTGCTGTTAACTTTTCTACGTTGTACTATTTGGGAGAAAGTCACTATGTGCAATTATTTGGAAATATTCTGCATGAGAGTTTCCTATTCTCCATTTATGTGTATGGTCAATCAGTATAGACATTTATTTTATACTTTGGATTAGAGTGCAATATTCCTTTACTTGTTTTTTTGTTCCTCCAATTGTTCCAGCTTTGGGCTTTGGGGAATTTGGCTCTCTTGCCTTTCTCACATTCCTCCAGCCATATGGCTTTTTAAGAACTTCTAGACTCTGACAGAAATGATGAGATGCTGTAGGCTCCATCTTACACACCTCTTGTCCAGTCCTAGCACCACCCATTTCTCCTAGGAAACTTACAAATGATATTTATTGAGAACATTAAAATTGAAGAAGGAAAAATAACAGAAAAGTCACATTTTTATAGTTTTATAGTTAAACAAAAAAAGGAGTAGCTTTTGGCTTTGAGTATTTATTATAATCCAGAAAGATCGTGTCATGCACTTTCAATATGATAGAGTGGTTGTGTTTGAAATGGAGGCAAAGGCTTAAAGAACTCTTTAAATTTCTGTAGCTTTAAGATTTTTGTTTTCACAAAGTACTGTTTCACCCTTGCAAAACGGTTTATGAATCTAGGTGTCTCAAAGCAAAATAAAGTTTATATCTAATAATATATATAGAGAGAAACTGATAATGATAAAGCCATTGAGTCCAGAAATCTAGTTTCAATAAGCCATGGGCAAATGGAGCAGGTTAAGCGAGTTTTCTTGATAACAAAGGTCACACCACAGACTATCCCTTGCTTTTCCTCTGGAGTCACAGGAAGTAGTCCAGGTGATAGAGGCAGGAAGCATTTGGATATGAGTGGTAATCAAACACAGGGGAATTCACATGTGTTTGGCCCAAGCCTCCTCCTAGGAACTGATGTGCTCAGTCCAGACCATGAAAGACCACTTTACAATGACCACACCTGATAAATATCTGTTCTATTTTCACCTAAGTTTCAGTGTTTCCAAAGGCTCTTTCCTATCACTCTCAGGGAAACCTTGTCCGAGCTAGGAAACCTTGTCCTCAGCGCTCAGTAGGCTGATGCAGGGTGATTTCTTGAGCCCAGGAATTCAAGGGTGTGTGGATAACACAATGAGGTATGTCTCAGAGAAGAATTAAAAAAAAAAAAAAAGCTGTGGACTAAGAATGAAGGAAGCAGCTGGAGTTCGGAGAGAGGAAAATATTCTCATCCAAACCAGACTGGTTCTCTAAGGAAATACTTAGGATCCCATGCATACCTGCGAAGAGGCCAACAGCATCTGCCTTCATTTGCAACTGTGCACCTGCATCTTTAAGCTAAGGAACACAGGCTAGAAGTCTGTTTATGACAGTCGGCAAAGGAAGGCCCACGTCTCTGGCAAGCTTCTGACAAACTTTGTGTATCTGGACACTAGCTGGGCTGGTAAAAAGGTTCAGAGGTAGGAAAGACATTCAGGTAGACTGAAGTTTAAGGGTTTTACTTTGCTTATATTCCAGAAGTGGTGAGTGTAGGATGAAAGAAAAAAAAAATGGAAGGCCTGGGTTTGAGTTCTGAGTTTGTTATTCTCTGGTTCCATTAGCACAGCCAAGTTATTTTATACTTTCAAGTCTCCATTCCTCCAACTGTATGCTAAATGGTAAACCTATTGGATAGTACTGCTATAATTCTACAACCTTCTTATTCCTAGGCATGACTGACAGAGGTGGCCGTAAAATGATCCAAATCAACAGAATCAAATGCAACACCACCAAAATTTAGATAACTATATTAGTATTTTTGAAAATTCCACCTAGTGGCTACAGCTTACAAAGCCAGGGCTGGGAGGGATGACAGCTGTCAGTCTAAGTGATGGGTAACAACTGTTGTGTCTGTTTGGTACAACAGACACTGTGTGGGAGTGCTCAGCCCTTAATTTCCCAACCCTTATCTAGATGAGCATACTCAGGGAAGAGTCATGTAGGCTGGCCAGGTTTGTTTTTGGTAGGGAGTTAGATTGGTAGGTGTGCTGTCCCCGCCAGGAAAGAAAAAAAAAACAGCAACAACAGCAACTGGAGGTGGAGAATTAAGAGCAAAGGCCCCAGAGTAATTGCCGTGGGAACTTCCGGGTAGAACATCAGGGTTCTAATTTGTGATTCCAAAACTGAACTGATTTGATAGGCAAAACAATGTCTACTTAGAAGTCTAGGGCAGAAAACAAGATCCTAGTTGGTAAAAAAATGCAATTTCTCATTTCCTTCTCCGGGAAGTTCTAGCTTCTTCTCTTTAGGAGAAAAAGAGATGCAGAGAGAAAAACCAAACCAGTCTTCTGCTCTCAAAATGACCTGTCGTTACCAGTTTTTAAACCAAAGAATTTTTGCATCAAATGACTTAAAACCTAGAGGAACCTTCTTTAAGAAGGCAGAATGTTTGAGAGTATGAGAATAACATTTCCTGTCAGAAGGGTTTCCTGTTTCAGGCAACCGCAGCTTCATGTAGAAACATCCGCCTCACACAGTCACAGCCTGTGGCCAGGGGCCACTTCCCTCTTCTACTTACCCTTCCTCCCCGACGAAGGTGACATACAGTTTATTTCTCTGCAGGTCTTTTCTAGAGTAGCCCATAATCTGATTAAAAGCATCTTCTAGCAAATGATCTCTTCGGATAATTAGCCTGTCCATAAAGAGATAATTTGAAAGAACACAAATTAATTACAAATCTTCATGGTTCTAGAATTTGGCACCTGCCATTTAATTTCTATTGACCAAACTTTACTAGGTGAGAAGTGAAGTTACTTAATGGTATTGCTGTCTGTGATAAAGTGCACTTTTGCCTTTAATTCTTAACAGCATTAGAAAAAGTTATATAAGATAATCAGGTGTAAACAGGTGGCCTATGATCTGAGTAATACCCCCAAAGTCCTTTCTTAGTGACCAGATATTCATTATAGAAGGAAAATGACCACAACACAAAATACATACACACACTCAACACATACATACACCTTCCTGACTAAAGGAAGAACAGCCCTATGAGGTCTTGCTTTAAACCTGAATGCACCTAGACAAGGAATTCAATGACTAAATGTCAAGAGAAAAGATTTTGAGAACCAGGAGAAAGAGAGGGGTTGGGGAGGGAGAAATATCTAAGTTCTCCAAAACACAGGAGTTCAGTTGGGTTTAATTTGATTTTTAAAGTAAATGAATGTTGAGATTCCCTAAAGGGTAGGTAAAAGTGTTTGTGGCTAATTACTGTGCTTGTGATAATCACAATTAAAGTCATCCTTTCACAGACAACAATTTCCCCTTAATGTAAGTGGTAATGACAAGGGATGATAAGGAAGCTGAATGCATGGTGCCAGGTCCCTCTATCCTTTTTTAGTCAAGTGTAAGACAGGTGCTCAGAAAGGTGTAGAGCTGGGGACAGGCTGATCTGCTTGGAGAGCAATGAAAGTAGACTTTAACTGAGAGAACCCTCCTGTGCATGGGGTGGTGAGCAGAGACTGTGGTTGGGTTGTCCCCTGCCTTGGCAATCAGAGGGTTACAGGAAGTCTCCCGTCTCTGTCTAACCCCATTGGGGCCATGGACATGGGCGTAAGTGTGGGGGAAGAGGAGTGAGGTACATAAGAAATAAAAGCAAATCAAGACAAACAAGATGATAATGTTTTGAGATTCCTCACTGAAAGGGAAGTAGGTTTTTTTTTTTTTTTTTTAAAAGCAGCAGCAACCCAACCAGGGTATATTGGTGGTACTCATGCAATTCTACCACCTGGGAGGTTGAGGCAGGAGGAGGATGTTTGTAGCTAGCCTGGGATATAGGCAGATCCAGGTCGGCATGGCTACACAGTAAGACTGTCTGTCTCAAAGTGAACAGACGAAGATGAAGAAGAAGAAGAAGCAGAAGAAGGAAAAAGAGCAAAAAGAGGAGGAGAAGGAGGTGAAGGAAGAGGAGGAGGAGGAAAAGGAGGAGGAGGAAAAGGAGGAGAAAGAGAGAAGGAGGGGGAGGAGGAGAAAGAGAGAAGGAGGGGGAGGAGGAGAAAGAGAGAAGGAGGAGGAGGAGGAGAAAGAGAGAAGGAGGAGGAGGAGGAGAGGAGAGATGAAGTATAGTGAGGAGGAGAAAAGCGAAGAAGAGGGGAGGGTGGTGCTACCTAGCAATAACATTGCTGACATGTTTTGCAGGACAAGTGAAGTTTGTTTCGAGATGAAATAAAGCTAATCATCATTTCTGGACTCAATTCAGCTCAAGAACCAGTACCATGCAATGCAAGACACTGAGATACTTCTCATGAATATCTGATAAGCCAACCAAGACATATTCTTCAAGAGGAAAAAAAACCCTGCTTTATATTTTTCCTGTATTTTTTTTTACACAGCAAATGGCAGTATCTTTGTGGCCTGATTGAAAACCTTAACTCAGCTTAATTTCAGAGCTATGTTTTATGCTATTATTTACAAATGCCAAAATTAGTGTACCCACTAAAACAGAGGTTTCTGTGACCAGGTAGGTGGTATTACTTCAACTTACTTTAATTTCCCTGGGCCTTGTCCATATCCTTTTGTTTCTAACTTCCTGTAAAAGTTCCTTAGTTTGGCTTCAAAATCTCGCTTGTAAGGAGCTGGAGCACGGGCATTGGCACGCTGGGTACCTGCAGCAAACCACAAAAGGAGGTCAGACCTGCATCTGTGCATGAAACCACGGAAAATATTACCATGTTTAACAAGGAGAGTCAATCAGTACTTTCAGCTCAAGCACATGCCTCCTCTCTACACCAAAGCTGAGCCAAGATGTTGAGAGAAATGTTTTTGTGGCTCTTTGGGTTACAGTAAAGATCCTATTTGAATAGTTACAATGATGTCCATGTGTTTCTCCAACATGTTTTTTCAGTCCAAACTAGCATGAGTCAAACAGAATTACTCATGTGGAGTGGTAACTTCTTAGGATGAAGTATCTTTTGCTCACTTGACAAAATGATATCATGGCAACAAGACAGGAAGTTACAGTGTGAAAGGAGGTGGTATACAAAGCAAGAATAGTGAGTTTCTACCATTCACTTCAAATTCCTCACATCTTCCTTTAAATATTCACTTAATCATTTAAGAATGATTTTAGGTTGATAATTATGTAGAAAATACATACACATATATAATATGTATATATCACATACATATGTTATACACATTATATACGTATAACACATGTATATATTATATATTTTACCCTGTGATGTCAAATGGACATGCCCATTGGATATCACAGGGCAAAATAATCTTACTATAAAACACAATTGCAGAATTCATATGTCTCCTAGTTGTGTGGGGTAAACCATGATAATATTTATTGCATTCTTAGTGTGCCATATGGTAAATATCTACAAATTAAAGGTATATGGCCAAATATTATTATTAAAATATAAGAGTAGTACAGTCTCTCTTTCACAGAAAAAAATCTGGCTCTGTGTCAGAAAGTGACTAAGCAGTAAGGGAAAACAAAGGAGGAGGCAACAATGCTTGATAAGAAGTGTACTCATTACTTTGCTCATGTAATTGTAACCCCTCTGTACGGTATTTTCACAATTAAAAAACTTATTAATTAAAAAAAGAAGAAAGTGACTAAGCAGTAAGTCAGAATATAGGGATCAGATAAGACATGACAGAAATTAAGTTTTTCCCAAGTTGGTGAAAACAAAACAAAAACAGAAAAACACACATCTCCTTCTTAGGTACCATGTAAGTTTGTAAAAATTGTTTTTGATGGATCAATTAGCTAAATGTTTGGTATTCATTGCTAATACTGTTAGGTACAAAAAAAGGGGGGATGCCCAGAATAATCAAGGTGGGTTACTGGTATAAATATCATGGCTGGAAAGGAACTAAACATCAAATAATTCAAGAATAATTAATTCTTACCCCAGGATAGTTCAGTGGTCTTCTGTATAACTTAGAGGACAAAAACCATAGCCCTGGGACCTTATTCAGCCCTACAGGTCTATTTTGTTTGCTTTATATTTAAGATTTTGAATTAATTACCAAGATTTAAAAATAAGAAGGTTTTGGGGCTGGGAAGGTGGCTCAGTGGTAGAGTGCTTGCCTTGCATGCCTGAGGCCCTGGGTTCGATTCCTCAGCACCACATAAGCAAAAAAAAGCCGGAAGTGGCACTGTGGCTCAAGTGGTAGAGCGCTAACCTTGAGCTGAAGAGCTGAGGGACAGCGCCCAGGCCCAGAGTTCAGGCTCCACGACTGGACCAAAAAAAATAAAATAAGAAGGTTTTAAGTATAAATAAATACATGTTTACTTATGAAAATGACCTGGAAATTTTACAACTAGCTTACAGTTCCTTGGGGAAACAGGATAGCTGCTTTGTTTGATGATGCATGGCTACCCTGTCCCAACCACTCAATGGCACTGGTGGCCAAGACTCCCAAATACGTACATTTGAGATCTGTGATTAAAAGTAACAGTAATGCCGTAGGTGAGTAATGAGTGCAAGTAGAGATCAAAGTGTAACAGATCTTAACTGGGGCCAAACCTTGTAAATGGAGGAGGACTCTATAATTCTGTACTTGGACAAGGCAGCAAGAGTTGGCATAAATCTTACACGCATGTTCAGAAGACATCGAGAAGACCTTTGCCACTAGACAAGATGGCGAGTGCTAGGGTGTCTGTGGAAAATCAGATCTGCCTAAAGGATTGGAACCAGATAAGGAGAAGTGTCTTAAAGTCTGGCCTAGGATTCTCAGCACAGTGCAGAGGACAGACAGAAGCCTTTATAGGTTCTTGAGCAAGGAGATAACATACAAGTGCCATTTTGCTGAAGAAATTACTCCCAGAGTGTGTTGATAAGGATGGGAAAGAGAAAAGGAGACTGGAAAGTGGGGGCCCAGTTGGGAGTTACTGAAGAAAGGAGGCTGAGGGAATAAGGATGAGTCAGGAGCATGCCTGGTGACTGCAGGGAATATTTACAATGTGAAATACAAGTTAGTGCCTGTAGAAAAGTAAGGAAGAGGAATAAGAAGCACTGATGATCACCTCGGTCTTTAGCAAACAACAAAGAAAACCCACTGGTGACTTTGTTAGATGCCTACTGAACAGCAGGGATAAAGCACCTCACACAGGGATGGATCCTCACCAGACATCTATGAAGCTGCTACTATCTTCATCACCTTTGCTTTGCAGCTAAGGAAAATGAAGGTGCAGCTTCCTGTCCAAGTCACAGTCCTGTCCAGTGACAGTGGGTCAATCTGATGGAGTGTGGGGATTGGTGCTGGCAGACAGAGGCGTGGGAGGCTATAGTATTTCTATTGAGTTGGAAATGACAGTGGGTCAGGTGGACACTGCTCAGACACCTGACAGTATAGTGGTGGAATTGCATGAGAGAGCAGGCTGCACCGTGGATTAAATCACAGCACACAGGAGTCTGAGGCAAGACGACTGAAAAGCTGTATCATTGAGACCTTGCCCCCAAACCATAAAACGAATCAAAAACTATGGTCAATTATGCTGCTGGTCTTTGTCAAGTTCTTTTTTTGTTTTTAATGGCCTTGCTATGTATCCCAGGCATGGCCTCGAACTCAGAATCTTCCTGCGTCTGCCTATCAAATTCCTGTTTTTAATGAATTTCTTATTATCTTTACATTATTATACAAAGAGATTTCAACTCAGTTTATCAATTTGTGTGTACAATGCCTCTTGATCAATTCTGAGTACAAGTCAGGTACAATGTCAAGAGATTCCAGAGCAGGAATGTGATTTCTGCTTTAAAAACAAAAATGTTCTTGGAATAATGAGCTAGAATTGTAATGAGAACCAAGTCTGCAAATGAGCTTTCAGGATGTAATACTCTTACAGAGAGAGTACTTTGATTGTGTTTATCATCCATTACAAAAGAGAACCTGATACAAAACACTCAGTGTTAGATCCTGTAAGTGATCAAATGAGGGAACAATTGCATGGATGGTAAACATTATGGCAATAATTTGCAGAAAATTTTTCTCCAGTAATAAATATTGGGGCTGTTTTTCTTTTGTCATCTCTAGGCAGATCTTAAGGGCTTTCATACAGTTGTACACTATTCCCATGTACTATTACAACCTTGCAGTCAGACAGAGTAAAGAATTCTATCTGGCAAAATATGTAACTGACACTAGAAGAAATGTTGACACTAAAGCCTGGAAAAGTCTGAGTCTTTTCTGGCTCTGGGTGTGCATCTTGGAACCCAGATGGCCTCTGCCTAATCCAACACATCTCCAGGCCTCTTCCCTGGGACAGTTTGGATTCAAGTTCTCTCCTGGTCCACTTTCCATTAAAAAAATTCCATGAAATTTATTTCACAATTTCTCCTTAGTGCAAGAACAAATCATTGAGCATTACAATAATTTCTAGCAGGCTCAGCTCGGTATGGGAACTTCAGGTGGGGGGAGGAACATTTTTGGAAACTGGCACTGCAGTCCTCACATTTTTGCTTTATTCTTTAAGAGCAGTAAAGGCCCTCAGGTTGTGTTTGGAGCTTGAGATGCGCATGTACATACCACTCACTGACAACAGCAAGCTGACGCTCTGAGTTCTCAGATCTTAGCAAAGAAACAACTTATTAAAAAGAGAATAATGCTGAAGGACAAAGCAATGACAGGCATCCTGAGAACACTAGGGGTGAAGACGATGAAGACTACTATGAAAAGCAGAGACAGCATCTAGGTAAGGGACGAGGAAGGGAGATAGAGAAGAGAGAATGTATCAGATGAGAGAGTACAGAGGATGTATCCAGGAAGACACAAATTTTGCAGGGTAAAGAGAGGGAAAGATCTTAAGGATCTATGTATTGGGAGAAATCATTCCCCCTCACTGTCTACTCCCTCAAGACAACCTTAAGTAAAGACCTACTCATGTTCTCTGAGTAGGTTTTACTTCCCTTGTGTGTGGCTTCATAAAGTCCTAGTGTCCTGATAATGCAGTTGTGGTTAAAAAAAAAGAAAGAAAGAAAATCCAGCTCTGTTCTGTAACTTTCAGCTGTATAACCATCACCATGGACTACAGCATATCCTCCATGTGCTACGAATAGGGAAGCAAGGGGCAATGTAATGTATTTGCAAAGAGTTGCAGCAAATAGTGGGTTAAGTGACTTCCTATGTCGTGAAAGTCACAGCTTTGGTTACCTGGAAAATTCACATATGAGAGCACATCTCCAACACTATTAGGTAAATTAGGTGCTATTGCATTGAAATTCCTAGAAATGCACCACCTAAATAAACTTCGGGGTCCCTCATTTGGCACAATAAACCATCTGGTGTTTGCAAAGATCTTTTCCTTCTGGCAAGGCTGAGGTTAGAATTGGCATTATAATAGTCCTAGGAAAAATAAACCTCACATTCCAAAAATTTGACAAATTTGAGGTGAACACTCTTTAGCAGCTGCAGAAAGCGGTGAGTCACACTTTCCGAAGGCCCCCCTCTCCCTGCAGTGCTTGAAGAGACATGTAGATGGGCTTGCAATGAGGAGAACCTAGAAACATTCGTAGGCATTTTGAATGAAGATTATTAAAAAATGTATTCCTGTCACAATTTTCACAAGGTCATTCTCACACCATGAGAGGTGTAGGATTCTAGACACAAGCTAAAGGAGCAGACCCCTGCTAAAAAAGCTGGTGGAAATATAGCTTTTACAAAGGCGTCAGGCCCCTCCTCCGGGGAAGTGGGCTCCTGGGCCCTTTCTGATCATGTGGAACACGTCATGGCCACTTCCACTGCTATCAGCTAGGTCGTCCAGTGAAATGGAATAGGCCAAGACTATAGAAAATTCAAACCACTGCAAACTCTGCCAGCTATTGAGATATATTTGGATTACACATGTCCTTGGAAAAAAAGTTTCCAGAATGCATTTTATCATCACAGTGGATTATGCATGCGTACTTGTGACCCTAAATGAAGAAGTAAATTGAGTCACCATTTTGAATGCTCACACAGTAGCCACGTTTTGATCGCATGTTTTCATAGAGTTCAGAAGAGACACAATCTGGGTGTGTGTGTGTGTGTGTGTGTGTGTGTGTGTGTGTGTGTATACATACATACATATGTATATATAGATATTTATTTATTTATTTTTCTCCAGAGAGGCTAGGCCTTTATTTTACACCCTGTATCATTCTGTAACTGGTCACAATCTAATTTATAATGATAGATCAGCTACAGCAAAGATAATGTATAACTTCATGGATTTCAGATCTAGTGGGCTTTCTTCATAAATCATCCTTCTTGGACTTTTTTGCACAGTTGGCTCTCATAACCACACCTTGAAAAATTGGATCTCCTGAAATCACTTTTCTAATTCTACTCCAAAATTTGCTGTTTCTCCTTCATTTATTCACTCTTTTATCTTAGCCCATCCCTTAGATAGTGGAGGTACTCATGTTCAACATCCTTATATTATCTTCCTCTAATTCATGCTCTGGGTTTCCATTGCTACCACTGACCGTAGGCTGACTTCTTAGCTATCAACCTTGCTGGCCTTCCACAGCTATGTGGTTCCAGTCATTGTATTTCCAACCCTTCTCAAACATGTCCAAAGGCAAATTCACTTCACCACTACCCCACATTCCAACCTTATTCCTGTCTTGGTAAGTGGTGCTAACATTTACCTCACGATGTGGACAGTGAGGCCCTTCAAATCTGCCAAAGTCTGGTTGTCTCTGCGCCTGCATATCCCTTTATTCATTCCCTTCTCTCTTTCACTGCCCTCCGTAGTCAGCCTTGTATCAGGTCATTGGGCTGAGGCCATAGCCTCCTAAATGGTGCCTCTGGCTTTTCATCCTCTCAGATTCTAAGACACTCTCCTCATTGCTACCAATTTGATCACCACAAAGCAGAGTACTATGGATGTTCCTCTGTTTGTAAACTTTGAGAGGACTACCAAGTAAAGCTTCAATGACTAATGGGCCCTGGTCTGCCTTTCCAACCTGAGCGCTGAGAAAACTTCCCTTTTCTTGTCATTATTAACTGGCCCTTAAACTACATTCATGCTTCTGTGACTTAACTTACATTACTCTTTTGGCAAGGATGCCCCCTTCTTTCTTGGATGCAACTGGCAAATTCCTGTTCACTATCCTTAGAGACTCCACTCCTGTCTTTTGTCTTCACGGTCCGCAAATACTCAACTGGCCCTGATGGAGTAATGACTCCCACCTTTGGGAGCAGCTGTTCCCATACATCTCTCTATTGCACAGCGTTACAGAGTCACTGCTGACTCACTGCTCCACCGTGAACCCTTCAAAGGCAAAATCTGGATTCATGAGTTTCTACAACCAAGGCCTAATTTACTGCTTGGATCAGAGTTGGATGCTCAATAAATCTGTGTTACGTGAGGAAATTAATGGGCCTTCTCCTGTTTGCAGTATTCAGTTTGGCTATGGCTTCACTATCATAGCAATATGTAAAGACATATACATTATGCTAAAGAACATCTAGCAGGTTTTGGTTTTGGTTTTTTTGGTCAGTCCTCATGCTTGAACTCGGGATTGGGCATTGTCCCCTAAGCTTTATCGCTTAAGGCTAGCACTCTACCACTTTGGGCCACAGCCACTTCCCATCTAGCAGCTTTACGAGACACAGCTGAAGCTTAGGTTTGTATTGAAATAGTTTTGAATTCTGGTAGCTGTTGAAGTGTGCATGACCTTTTGCTTCCAATAAGGATAAACACAGTTGCTTCTGCAATATCATGACTTCTTCCTTTCAGAAAATACATTTGCTAAACTTCATTTTTTACTATTTATCCATTTGCTCACTCATTCATTTCCTTCTTTTCAGAAGTTTAAACTTACAAGTATTTTATCTGTCCATGTGTTTTCTCTGCTCATTGATCTTTGTTTTTGTTTTTCCTATGTAATCCAGCTAGTGAAAACCATAGGGGAAAATATCCGAGTCTACTACATTGACCCACTCAAATTTCACATTATTTCTTGAGTGCAGAGACTTTATGGCTCGTTACATCTGTCTTCTCACTAGAACTTTTTTTTTTTTTTGGGTCCAGTCGTGTGGCCTGAACCCTGGGCCTGGGCGCTGTCCCTCAGCTCTTCAGCTCAAGGCTAGCACTCTACCATTTGAGCCATAGCACCACTTCCGGCTTTTTTCTTTTTGCTTATGTGGTGCTGAGGAATCAAACCCAGGGCCTCAGGCATGCAAGGCAAGTGCTCTACCACTGAGCCACCTTCCCAGTCCATCACTAGAACTTTTTAAATCAAAAAAGCTTGCATATTTTTCACACCCTAACATTTTTTCAAGATGTATTTGGTATTCCATAACATAATGAAAATAAATTCTATATCTGACTATGTCATACATCTAACATCACCTTTCTGTCAAAATGAATCCCCATGGAAACAAGCTATTTTTAAGAGTAGCAAATACCACACAAGTCCCTTTGCTAACACTAGCCATGTACCCCAAGTGTTCCTATTCCTCGTGACGGACTGACTTTAGGGCCAAGTGCTCAGAGGATTCACTGTGCACAGCAGCTGGACTCACCTGGTGAATTCTGAGGAGACGACACAGGAGAGCCACGGGGGGACTGACAGTAGCTGGGGTGGAGTAAGGCATGTGGAGGCACATATGACATTATCTCTTCTTCAAATAAACTGGGGAAACAAGAAACAAAATGCATACTTTAGCCTAGGGGTAGGGAGCAGCCTTGCTTCCACGTGACAGAAAGCAGATGTTTCATCTGTCCCACTGTCTTAGAGGTTCCATTTATTCTTTTATTCTATCATGACTGAACAGGTATCTTCCTTTCACAATTTGTAACATAATCCTATTCAAGTGCACAGGCCATATATGTGTGTGTGCGCATGCACACACACACACACACACACACACACAGAGGTTGCTACAATTACATAAGTGCTCTATAAATATATATTATTCTTGAGGTTCTTTCTTTTCTTAATCAACAATATTGTTGTAGTATAGCACAGGAGAAAAAACATCACCAAGGCTGAGAAGCAGGATTCCCATAGGTCAGGGTAAATGTAGTGAAGCATCTATGGAAAGTGATTATCTCCTTTGAGTTTTGGTTCAACTACACCATTAGAAAGGGAAGTAACTTTTAGCAACAATCCTTAGGCAGTCAGAAATACAGTGATAAACGTGGCAACTCTCAAGTGAAAGGCTTTAGGGGGAGGGGGGGGAGAAATCCCTGAAAAACCTGAATGGAGTTGTTAGCACTGCGGGAAAGATAAACATTGCCTGAGGGGCTCAGCATGCATTTCCTTTAGTTCTACAGAAGGCCTTGATGGTGAGTGTCTGGACCACTGGATAGAGCAAAACATGATTTTATTTTGCCTTGCCTACATCTCAAGGATAATACGGAAGCTGGTCTTTTGAAAACTTGATGGTTTCCCTTCCAAACTATTCTAGACTCAAAAGCCAAAGCCAGTCTAACCATTATGAAAGACAATACAACTGGTCAGTTTCATGAAGGGCCATCAAGTTGGAGAGAGTAGCAGGGACCAAATTTCAATGTTCTGATCTGGTCTCCCAAAACTAAACTCGCAAAACCACAAAGTAAATAAATAATATCTTGAATCAGCAAAAAGAGACAAAGCAGAGTTGAAGGGGAAAAGAAATGAAAGAAAATATAAATATGACCTCTGTTCCACAAGGAGGAGCTTAAGCTGTGTATACCTTATTTGGTTACTCTTCTGCTCCCCCTCTGAGTGGGACATTTTATTCATTGTCTCTATGACCTTTCCCTGACATGACACCATGTTCTTCACCAGCAGACAAAAAACAAAGTCAAACAGACCTCACTGATTTAAGAATGTAGTCTGCAATGACTTCTCACTAAAGCAGCTTCTTAAATGTGTAATGTATGCGAAAGCCTATAAGGATAATATTTTCTACAGTGCTTCCTGAGGTCAGGAGGCTCCTGGCTGTCAGTACCAGCACATACCTCAGCAACATCACAAGGTCTGCATCACTTGAGAGGCGCACCAAGCCAGGGGTCCCTTCAGTTCGGATAAATTGGATCTTCTCCCTGTTCAAAATAAAGAAACAGTTCTAAACATATGTGGTAGGTTTTAGGATTGAAATTTCATACTCAAGTACATTTTTTTTGTAATGGTTATAGCATGTGCTGGTAACCTATCACATGGCAGTGATGCTTTGATATTTTAGGAACACATATTCTTGAGAGAGACAGTCTGGCTTTCAAGGAGATTGTGAGGCTGAGGATTTAGCTCAGTGGTAGAGCATGTGCTTAGCACCTATAAGACTCCAGGTTTGATCCCAAGCACAACAGAAGATGGAAACAAGAAAGATCTTGTGGGCATCAACATCTCTCCATTCTCACACTGGGAAAAGAAAGATTATCACATTGCTTTGAAAATTTGCTACATAAACACTACTATAGACAACACTAACCAGTCCTTGCCTTTGAGTTAAAACCGACTATGAGCTTGAATCTAAGCAACAGTTTTAGGGGTTGATTCCCCCTCCTCTTCTAAAAGGATATTCACAAAAGGATTGTCTGGGGGGGGGGATTTATTTTCCCGAGGGTCTGACCATAAGTTACATGTCATGAGTTTATTCCTCTTGGGATAGATAGGTTCAATACACTGTAACTCCATTATAAAAAAATGACTCCTAAAAAATAAGTGAAATTGTCTTAGTTACCACCACTGGTGAAATAGATTCTGTACAAATCTGTGCAAAGGCGGATAGAGCTTTACATGTCTACCAGGTGTGCTACCATGCACAGCTGGCCTTGGATCACAATTCTTCTGATCTCTGCCTCTCGAGTAGCTAGCACTAAGAAGCACAAAATTTTCAGATTATTGTACTATTATAGTATGAAATATCGATCTATGATATAAATATTTCAGATCTAGCTCTTATAGAGCATCTTGTTGTTCTGCTTCATATTTTCATGAAGTTCTGATGTATTTTAGATTTCCAAATTTTTATTTGGAAGGGGATGATTTGAAAAACAAAGACAATTGTTTGGATGAAAATCTCCTTAAAACACAGAAACTCACTTGTCCTTGTCCACAGCCCCATAAGTTGGGGTGCTAGGTTTAACTGTTTATTTCTTCTTTGTAAGATCCATTTTGCATAATAGTACTGGAAACACCTAATATTTATCACTGCCACATTTTCTTTTCTGTCCTTTATAGCCAACAGCTAACTACTATTACTTTTTAAAAAGACTATGAAGACCTGTATGAACAAGTATATAAAGAAAGTATACAGAAAGTCAGTTTCCTGCTAGCTTATTGCAGCTTGAAAGCTAGAATCAGGAAGGACATTCTCCACAATTATTAGGATCTTATGTCTCAAACACACAATGATAGAAATCAAGGCTTACTATCTAGTGGATATTTTTTGGGGAGTAAGAGATAAAAATACTGGCTTAAAAAAGCCGAATTAGAAAAAAAAACCCAAACAATTACTTAACCAAAGAAATATTTGTAGAAGGGTCAGTAACAATATGCTTTGATCCTGAAGAATCAAAAGCTATCTCTAACAAATATGCAGTTTATCTCCCTCGTCTGCCATCAAGATGAAGCCAGGCAAACAGAACAAAACCCCAAATCAAACATGCTGACTGCTTTCTCCAGCTTCCTTAACTGGAACTACGCATAATGGGTTGGGTGATGGTAAAGATAATCATGTTCTGGACTGTGGCCTACAGATTTCCAATGAATAAGAAAAATATCATAGCTCATCTGAGTCACAAGGATGCTAGGGCAAGGAAAGGAAAGGGAGAGGCAACAGCGAAAGTATACCGACTGGGAAATTTTTCATTGCTTTCTAGATATTAACTACTAATCAGTGAAGGCAACTGGTCCAGTTTTACAGGCAAGAACAAACTAGGGGATGAACACTAGTTTTCCACCAGATCAGCTCATTTGTCATAATGACAAGCCATGGGTCACATGCTTCTAGGACTGAAATAAGTCATCTGATGTACATCATACCCCTAGATACTCCGTTATACTAATATTTATTCATTCTTTGAGCAAACATTTATAAGTACCTACTATGTGCTGGGTACGATTCTCCCACACCGTGGGAATTCAACAGAGAAAAGACAAAGACATTTTGTCCAGGAGTTTACTGTGCAATCAAAGAGAGAAATCTACAAGCAGTTCCAACAGGAAGTGAAACTGTGTAAATTTTTCTCTTCACTCATCTGAACTCTGTTAGTCCATGAAAACACATGTATCCTAGATAGTCCTTTATAAAGCCTTTTTATGTGGAAGTAAAAAAGATGTATGTCTATGGATAGTCAAGAGAGCTGTGTATGGCCAAGGAAGGAAGAGGAGACAGCAGACATTCTCAGAAATGCCCCATCTTTTCTGAGAATGAAATAGGAACTACTGTTCAGTTAAAGGAGATATTTGCCCAATATTCTACAAACTAGTGTTTCTCAAAAAGATGTAATTGTATACTAGAAATCTGCAGATAAAGCCCTGAATTCTACAAGTCTTTGTTTTCTTAAGTCAAATTAAAGCATATTCTGGATAATATGGATAACATCTGTGATTAAATACTGCCATGTGACTTTGAGTTGCATGCTTACAGTTGTAAGGCAGTTGAGGCCTAGTGATCAGAGATAGACTTTAAAGTGTTGGTGAGCAGGACTGTCTGCCCCAAGGACAACAGAGCCATGATATCACACATGATAGCAATGGTCCCTGTTTACCACTCTCATATCAATTAGAAAGACCAAGACCTTTCTGTTACAGTATTCATATGCATTGAAAAGACCAAGCAAGGCCTACTCATGTAAGTTGCCATAGGCTGAAGAGAAAAGAAGAGATAGATTTAAAAAGTAAATTATGTGGGCTGGGAAGGTGGCTCAGTGGTAGAGTGCTTGCTTTGCATGCATGAGGCCCTGGGTTCAATTCCTCAGTACCACATAAGCAGAAAAAAATGGAAGTGGCACTGTGGCTCAAGTGGTAGAGTGCTAGCCTTGAATTGAAGAGCTGAGGGACAATGCTCAGGCCTAGAGTTCAGGTCCCATGACCGACAAAAAAATTCTATTAAAAAAATAATAAATTATGTGGACCAGCCATGGTGGCACAAGTTCATAATTCCTGCCTTGAAGAAGGCAGAGGGTGATGTCGGAGGCTAGCCCTTATCTGAAAATAACTAGAGAAACAAGGATTGGAAGAGTGGCTCAATTGGTAAACCATATGCCCAGCAAGCACAGAGCCCTGAGTTCAAACCCCAGTACTAGCACATACACACACACAAAAGTTAGCCATGTATCCTAAATAATCCATAAAAGATGCCATAGTCCATAAAAGAATAAAAGCTCTGCATGGTTTGCAAACAGGAAAGTAGTGGTAGATTCCATTTAACCCAGATTACATTCAATAAAATAAAAGCAGTTGTTAATGTGAACATAATAGGTACTCAGTACTTCTTTTCCTTTTAGCATAGAAAATAAAACATTTGGTTTCTATGAGTTTCCCTGAGTCTAGTCAGTGTGTGGAATTAATATAACTAACTCAAGAGATGTTATTAAAGACACATTTGACTATGCTTTGGTCTGAATATTCCTTTAATATGTTTATTCATTTATTTTGTTAATTATAGAGCTAAAAAGAATCCAGAATGAAGAAACTCTACTTACCGGTTTATAATGAGAATTACAAATTGTTTTGAAATGTGGGTTTACTGGGGGCTAAAGCCCTTCCTCCTTCCTATTCCATCTTTCATATTCCCACACAAGCCTAGCCAGCACTATGCTGTGCACATACAATTTGTAAAATACAAACCAGGCGTAAGTTCAGTGAATGGAAGAACAGCAGATATGACTCCTTACAATGCTTTCTGACTTGGCAATAAACAATCTTCCCATTATTATTTTCTTTTGTGGCAGGGAAATAAGACTGCTTGCTAAACCAGGATTCACTGAGGGAAGTGCAGATGTAGGTAAAGAGGCCATTTCTCATTAAGAAGCCCCACAACTGTCAACACAAATGCTGAACTGTGTATACTTACAACTTCAGAAAGAAGTTGAAGCCTGTGCTAGCTCTCAGACCCACCGTACTCAGGCCTTCATAACCACTTCCTCCCATGCACAGAAGAGCAACTTTTGTAGGAGATCATTTGAGGACAATAAACACAGTCTCAAGACTGGAATTCCCACTGAAAATATTCTCATTGAAACCAACCAACATTTTGGTGAAGTTAAAGAAGGGCATGTACTCAGAAACAATCAGAAGCAGCAATGCTCTAAACCACAAACCTCTCTGGATTGCAGCCTCTGTACCCCCAGGTTCCTGAAGTTCAGCAACACACATGATTTTAGAACTGCCCAAGGGTGCTTTTACAGCCATACCCTTGACTTCTCCAATAGCATAGTGTCCAGAAAGGAAAATTGGTGTTAGTCGTTCATGTTCATCATCATAGTCACAGGGGACTGTCTGACTAGACAGTGCCTTCCAAAGCCAAGCAGTAGGCAAGCTAACTTTACTGTCTGTCTCCTATTATATAGGTTCAATTTGGAACTATGGCTTCTCACAGTCATGTAATTCTTATGGACGCACAGAAATAACATGAGTCAGCCACATGTCTACGAACAAAATTTGGTCATAAACGGATATAAAACATCTCCCAAGCTAAGCACTACTTAACTCTCTTCATTTCCTCATCTTAAAAAAAAGCCTAATTAGAATGCAAATGAAACAGCCTAAAGCCTATTATATAGTAATTCCACAAAAAATCGTTCAACTAGGAATACAGGTAGACCCATTGCAACAATGAGATGTACAAGTCGTTATGTCGAAAAACGAACTTAACAACTTTGGTGGAGGGTAGGGGGAGGAGTGGGTGGGGGAGAGGGGGAGTATGGGAAAGGATGGGAAGGGGAAACAACTAAGAGGCAACAATGCTTGATAAGAAATATACTCATTATCTTGCCCATGTAATTGTAACTCCTCTGTACGGTATTCTCACAATAAAAAAAATATATATATATATAAATTTTAAGCTTTTAAATAATTAGGTAGACCTCATTCTTCT